GTATAAGAGACAGCTACAACAGACACAAAAGTGGAACAAGCCACAGAGGAACTTTTTAGTGGACGATATTGTGTTAGTTCTCGACGAGAATACACCTCGGAATTCTTGGCCGTTGGGAAGAATTCTGGAAGTTTACACCAATCGTAGCGATGGACTTGTACGCTCAGCATCTAAAATTGAAGGTTGCCAAGGCCATTTGCTCTCATTCATAGGTATTGTTTATAGTGTTGCTTAGATAATCTTTGCTATGTTCCTTTATTAGTATTACAGTATATTGCTACTGTATTATAGTTATTATCGTTTCATTCTATTGTTGTTAATACTGTATTAACATTATCTATCATTATTGATAGTATTATTTATTTTATTATTCATATTATTATGATCATTTATTTGTATTGCATTACAGTTTAAACCGTAGTCGTAGACGTAGACGTAGGCGTAGCGCATCGACATTGTGACATCATATGACACAGTAGATGTACACCGTGCAAGAATAAAGCATGTACCATTTATGTTAACTCTACGTTGTCTACGCGTTTGATTCATTTCTACCTCCACCAGAACAGAAAATAGTAACGCACAGGGTGCAAGGTTACACAATATGTGTCCAAGCCATTTCCATCTACGAGACATGATTTCTGTACTTATATTCTTCGAATTTGTTTTCTGTAGAATTACATTATTTTGTACAATGTACAGCCATCTAATTTTGAGGATTCTTCTTAAGCACTTGAACTGGAATGTGTCTAGTTTCAATTCGTCACTTTGGTTTACTTTCCAGGTCTCACATCCGTATAGTAGAACTGATTTGACAAGTGTGTTAAATAACCTCAGTTTGGTAGGTAGGGTGTAAATGTGTGAACTCCATATTCTATTTAACTTCATGAATGATATTCTGGCCTTATGGATTCTGTTAATGATACCATCTCCCCCTCCTCCTTGTTTACTAACAATAGCACCCAGGTAAGTATATTTATCGACTTCATTTAGTTGCTGTTTTCCCATTTGTATTCTATTATAACTGTTGTTATTTATCCTTAACACTTCTGATTTCTTCTTATTAATTTTGAGCCCAGTTTGTGCAGCAAATTGTGAGAGTTTTGAAGCTTTTGTTTGCAATTGCTGACAGTTTGGTGACACAAGTGCGATATCGTCTGCAAAGTCTAAGTCTTCGAGTTTTGATGTGAATCTCCATCTAATTCCAGTGTTGCTTTCTTCAGTTGTTCTCTTCATTATCCAGTCTATTATTATCAGGAAAATAAAACTAGACATTACATCTCCTTGCTTAACTCCAGTTTTGACTTTGAACCAGTCGGACTCTTCATTCCCATCCAGCACAGCACATTCAGTGCCTTCGTATAAGATTTGAACCATATTTTTGTTATCTTCCTTGGAATTCCATAAGCCTCCATTATTTTCCACATGCTATCACGGTGAACAGAGTCAAACGCTTTCTCGAAATCTATGAAGAGAATGTATAATGTTGCTTGCCATTCCACAACCTGTTCAATGATATTTCTAAGAATGAAAATTTGCTCCACCGTTCCTCTACCTCTCCTAAAACCTGCCTGTTCATCTCGCAGCTTACAGTCGACCTTCTCTAATTCTATCTATTAGTATCCTTCCAAATACTTTACTGGGAACCGATGTAAAGAGTAATACCTCTCCAATTACCGCATTCAGTAAAGCTTCCTTTTTTTAGGTATTTTGACAATCAGCCCCTGTTTCCATGCTTTTGGAACTTTTTCTTTCTCCCAAATATCTTTAAATATGCTGCATAACCATTCTTCTGTTATATTCATGTCAGCTTTCAATAACTCTACAATAATTTCATCCTTGCCTCCTGCTCTACCATTCTTCACTCTTTTCAATACTGTTCTAATTTCAACTACTTTTATAGGTTCGGTACTAATTTCATGTATTACAGGTTCAACCACAATTTCATTTACAGGATTGTCAGGAACGGGTTGATTCAAGACTTCCTCGAAATGTTCCCTCCATCTTTCAGTTCTAGCATGCCCAGTCACTAGACTTCCGATTTTGTCTTTAACAGCAAATGCTGGCTTCGGCTTGTCATTGCTAATGGTTTTAGTAAGCATGTATACTTCCTTCATTCTTCCATTGCAAGCTGCTTTCTCCGCCTGCAATGCAAGATTGTCAATCCATTTTCTCTTATCCTTTCTCAAATTCCTCTTCACTTCTTTATCTTTATTCCTGTATTTGCGGGTGTATATCTGTCTAACCCTATCAGACTTGGCCTGTTCAATATTCTGTTTTAGACTTTTTCTCTCTTCCACTATTCCCAAAGACTCGTTGCTTATCCATGGCTTCTGTCCTTTTGCTTTATATCTCAATACTTCCTGAGCTGTTTCCTTATATGCTTTCTCAAAACCCTGCCATCTCCCCTCAACAGTACTGTCTGCAACATTATGGTCTTCTAGAACATCATATTTATTTCTCAATTTCAGTGAAAATTGTATCTTGAACCCGGGATGCTGTAGTTCAAATTTTCTTCTAACGCTTCTGTTATCAATTTTTCTTTATAGCTTTAGTTTAATTTTGGAACGTACCAGTTGATGGTCACTTGCTATATCAGCTCCTCTCATTGCCCTTGTGTCCATTATAGATGTTCTATGTTGTCTACTTACCAAGACATGATCAATTTGATTCTTTACTCTCCCTCCTGGAGAAGTCCATGTTTGCTTATGGATTAGTCGATGCGGAAAGATGGTACCAGTTACCACCAGGTTGTTATGCCCACAGAAATTTATCAGCCGCTCTCCATTTTCATTCCGTATACGAATTCCATGCCTACCAAGCACACTTTCATATCCCTCGTTTCCTTCTCCAACTTTGGCACTCAGATCCCCCATTACAATTCCTAAAACAATAAAACCAATATAGGAATTGTATCAGCCTGCGAAAGTCCATTGTTGTCATCAGTAAATTTGAGACACTATCTTTGGATAAAGTACCGTACATAATATATCTAATGATGCAGCAGCAGCACTAGAACCGAAAGTGGATCTACCAGACAACGTATGCTTTTGGTTTTAACGTACCATTCGCTATATGATCACAGATAAATTACTACGGTACATCCTGGGGTCTGATCTACCTAACGTGTAAGGACATTTCGGATTGCTGGCTGCAGAGGGCATGAAGTGACCTTCAGGGGAGGAGAAAGTTATTGAAAAATGCAACATCTAGTCCCGAGCGCATAGAGACCTCGTTTATTTGCGCTATAAATCCATCTAGTATTATTATTATTATTATTATTATTATTATTATTATTATTATTATTATTATTATTATTATTATTATTATTATTATTATTATTATTATTATTATTATTATTATTATTATTATTATTATTAATTATTATTACATTTACACCCCTCCAAAATACCAGTACGAAAATGAGTGAAAATTAAAATGGTAGGGGCTATTAACGGGACCTACGGTCCCACTCTAACCTCGATAGGTTGAATGAGGGGGTATTATGCCATAATCCAACCAAGGGATTTCCAGGATCAATTTGCCGTTTTTGAGCAATTGTTACCGACATTTACACCTATCCCGCATACAAGTATGAAAATGAGTAAAAATTATACAAAGGTGGGGCTATTAAACGGGACCTTCGGTCCCACTCTAACTTCGATGGGGTGAATGAGGGGTATCACTCCATTCTAAGTGGAATGGAAAAACGGGAAAAATAAAAAGAAAAACGTTAATCGGTAAACTGATTGAAGGAGGCATCATACCATATTTTTCTTTACACGTTAAGGCGCTCAATATTACATGGGCAAGGAAAATACTGTGTAGGAAACACGTAAGATGGAAACTATTACCATTATTCTATTTAAACAAATTTGGAAACGAAAGAGTGATTCTGGGTATGTCAAATATTAATCTGACAAGTAACACGGGCCTTGATACTATACTTTCTTTTTATTTTAATGTTATAAAATGCTGTATCGAATTAAATAATACCAATAAAGATTATGTAGTTAACACGTATGAAAAAGTAATTAATCAAAGCTTATGGGGTAATAAAACAATTACATATAGGAACAAATCCCTGTTCTATAGGAACTGGAGTACATCAGGTTTCAATAAGATTAGTGATATAATTATTTTAATCGTCTAATGAAAACTAACGAAATTCTTGAAAAACTATGTATTAAAAAAATTGGATGAGTGAATATATTTCACTAATTGAGCTATTCCAAATGAATGGGTGAAATTAATTAAGCAAAATACGAAACATGATATACATGCGAATTCAGATGAGAATATGGTAATTAACAACATAGTTCGAATGAAAACAAATGCTATTTTGTTTAAGTTTTGTTAACAACAGTTTTATTCCTCCACAAAGTGAGCGTAAATGGAATAAGGTATTTAACAATGAAGATATACCGGTAAGTTGGAATGATGTTTGGAAGCGATAAGTAGAAAAAAAAGTAGAAAATATGCACAATTGAATTATAAATTATTAAACAAAGTTGTTCCTACCAATATGCAACTATATAATTGGAAGCTAAAAGATATTAATACATGTAACAAATGTGGTGGATGAAAAACACATGTTTCTTGAATGCATAAGTAATAATATGTTATGAAAAAAATAGACAATATTTTCTAAAAACTTGACAACAGCAGTAGTTCTTTTAAAGAACTCCTCCTGGGTTGTGACAGTAAAATTAAGAACCAAATATATTCCATTGCAGTCTACGCTATTTACAAAATTACAATTTTAACTGAGCTCTCTCTTGACTGTTTAATAATTATATGCCCTTTATTAATATAAAGATTATCATTCCTATTATTATTTTCTTTGGTTTGCAGTTGGTGTACTTTTAACGAAATTTGGGAAAAAAAAATTGTATGTGATGTATATAGATAATTAATACATACGTAAATTTGTATGCATGTATGTATTCGTGAATATAATAGGTGTGTGTATGTGTGTGTGGGTGCTTGTGTGTGCATTATGTATATATATGTATGTTTTTGTATGTGTGTGTGTGTGTACCGCTATAAATATATACAATGACGTTTGAAAACGTTTAAAATGACTAAAACAAAGTTCTTGACTTTTGTTTTTATTATTATAAAAATTATTATATTAATTATTGATCAGAGATGGAAAATGGTATTGACTTCATTAACATTATCAATGATTTCCTAATTTTTTTTCTTTTATGTACAAAACAGAAAGGTAACGTGTCCTGCTGATGTAATATTATTATCATCAGCAGGATACGTTACCTTTCTGTTTTGTACATAAAAGAAAAAAAAAATTAGGAATTGTTGAAATAAAACAAAATGTATATATATAGTAGGCCTATATGGTATTGGCGCGTATGTATGTGCGTGTATATACACAGTATATACATGTGCATGTATGTAAGTGCAATTTTGGAATGAGATGTATATTAACATATTCGATAAATTCTATTGCGGGACCTAAAAGAAAAAGAATATATTAATGTATTTTTTTAGAAATTGATAAAAGTTTAAAAGACGAGTTCAAAAAATTACAGTGAAATTCCCACGAAAGAGAAAAAAATTGATCAGTAATAAAATGTTTGTGTAGGTCTATATAGTTCGGGTGTTCAAATTAAACATAGGCCTACATTAAAACTCAAAAAAATAGATAAAATGACAGTTGAATGACCAACAAAAGACAACTGAAGACAATAGTTTGTCATTAGAATTTATTTAATAGTATAACTTTATTCGGAAAATTAATCTCAGAATCGAGTTGCCGTCCCCGGCGTTGTCAGTGACGTCGTATGATTTGTGTGCGATTTTTACCAATTAACCCCTAAGTAAAAAATAGTTAGCCATGTAGTACCTTGCAAATTAACCCAGAAACCCGATAGTTTGTTGATTGTTTATTGGTAGGGCATCCCTTCGCTGCCAAAAATCGTTTTTTTGGCAGTTGCGTCCACGGTGACATCATGAGGGCATAGTGCAGACTGGTTACGATTTGGTGGCAGATCGATTGCGTATTTTCATTCATTTGGCCATGTAAATCAGTGGCGTATTTAGATGTCTTGAAATAGGAGGCTGATGGGGGGGGGGGGGGGGGGGGGGCGTAGGGGGGGGGGGGAAGTGGGAGGGGGACTCGATGATCAGTTGAGGGGGAGCTAATTCGCAAAATAAAGTGATTTTTAACTACTTGACTGTGATTTGAAACCAGGTGTCAGTATAATCTTAGGTAAGCATGTGGTTAAAATAAGCAAGACTTTAGTCCAATGAAATTGTTTATAATCTTGATACCTTCTGACGAAAAATGTAGTTGAGCCATGTAGTACCTTGCAAATAAGCCCAGAAACCCGATAGTTAGTTGGATGTTTATTGGCAGCGTCCCTTCGCTGCCAAAAAAAATAACCAGAACATTATGATTCAATACGGTATGTATTTTGGTATATCATCAGTTAAGTTTATTTCTCATCATCAAAACATTGTACAAAACAGATAAAATTCGCACAAGGAAGGACAAAAAATATTACAATAATAGATGATGCAAGAATGGTCTATGAAAGTTTTTTTCAAGAAGTAAAACTTAATTCCAATGTGGCACTACATAAAACAAATTATAAACATGAAAGTGTTGAATGCGGTGAAGATGAGGCTAAATTGTCTTAGAAGTTAAAAAAGCGAAAGAAGAACAACATTATTATTAATAATAATAATAATAAAATATAAAAGCAGTAAACATTAAATAATTAAAACTTTAAAATACACTAGACCAAATGAGGCCAAAATATTTATGTCATAAAAGTAAAAAAGCGCGAAAGAAAAAAAAAACACTTAATAAAATAATAATAATAATAATAATAATAATAATAATAATAATAATAATAATAATAATAATAATAATAATAGTAATAATAGTAATAATAAAAACAACAACAATGCAACATACAAATTCAATAGTAAGAAGAAGAAGAAAAGAAATTGGGGGAACACAATATCTG